AGGTAGTTTAACTCAAAGTAGTATTTCGGCCCGGTTAATTTCAACATCATCTGCTAATCATGATTTAAAACTAATAAAAGAACTCCAATAGAATAATTTATGCTAGTGGTTGATAAAAATATAATCATTAATTGTTAATAATGATGTTCATTCTTACGTACGTACACTATTAGGACAACTATTTTACCGATGAGTTCAACCGAACGAAGGGAAAGGGATTGACCAAGCCCTAATTTGATTTTTTTTTCTTTTCAAATGTTTTTAAATAGAAAAATATATGAGAAGATGCCCATCATTGCCCTTTTCGCCGAAGCAGTTTCGCTTTCTTTTAAATTTGCTCAAACCGCCCATTTTGTTCTCATACGATTTCAATCTTGATTTTGGTACGATTTTACGATTTTAATCTCGATTTTAAACGATTTTAAAGTCCCCCAATTTTATAATAAATCAGGATCGGAATCCCTATGTATAATCTTAAAATCCTACGATTTTATGATCAAAATCCCAATTTTGACTGCCTTGGTGAGGGCATTGTAACCGGATATGGGCCTTGCTATTTCTCTTACTGACATGTTTGTTGGCTAAAACGCAGTGTTATTAAAGCCGAGCCACTCGGCCCGACCAGTAAAACCGCCACCCGGTCACAAAATCGGCTCGGAACTGTCTAAAAGCCGCTCCGGTTTTATGTAGCGGTTGGCGAGCGGCCGAGGCGGTTAGCCGTTCGAGCCGATCGAGCCGCTCGTCCGGTTTTTGTTATTCAGCCACTAAATTTAATTAAAAAAATTGTAGAAAATTGAAAATTGAAATAAACCAAAAACGTCGGGCTCTCACATTGAATCCTTATTTTCATTTCACAATTTCGAAGGAAAGAGATGAGCTCTGATTAAGAAATGTCCACTATTTATACTGATAACGTTTATTAGGTACCGATTCTCTAACGGTTTTTAAACGATCTAATGCCGGTTGGACCACTAAAGTGCAAGCCGTTCGCATTACCGGGTCATGCTCCGGTTCGGTTCTGACAACATTGCTAAAACGACATCGTGGCTGCTCTATTAAAAACGGCGTCACTTCAGTACCGAGGAACGACGACGTTTCGGTTTCGGATGATGTTTCGTCCTTCGCAGTTGTCGTCTCCATCTCGAGCCTTTCATTCTGCAGTCTTGAACTCTTCTTTCGAAAGCTCTGAGAAACCATTTTTCCAAATCTCCACCGACTCTATTCAGCACGCAATGATGACTGCTACCAGGAGCGCTTCGTAGGAAACGGCTCCTTCAGGGTTCCCCTATATATATATCGATTGAGTTCCTCATTTGAAAGTAGCGGTTGGTAGTAAGAGCGATTGGGATTTTGCTTTATCTATCAAGGGCTATTTTGGGTACCATCTTCAGTAGATAGATCACAGGAGTTGAGAACTGGGTGATCTTGTCTTGGGAAGTTGTGATTAAGTATCTTTTCTTGTAATCAAAGTGCCAAGTCTCTTGGCTTGGCTAGGGATCAATTTCGATCGATTGTAATTCTGTTTCAAGTTCAATAAAATCATTTCATTTTTACACTCACTCAGAGTTTACAATTGGTATCAGAGCAGGCTCTTTGAAGGACTAATCGTCGCCAAAGAGAAGATCACGAGATGTCTAGATTATCTTTAAGTGCAGTAGCCTATTCGGCAAATACGAACCCACCATGGTTTGATGGAACAGACTACACAGTCTGGAAGAAGAGTATGCGAATTTACCTCCGAGGAGTTGACGGAGAATTATGGGCTATTGTCAGAAAGGGACCAGTCCCCATGAAAGATGAAGATGAAGAAGATTGGAAGGAAGACCAGAAGATCTCTTCATAACTCGACTCGAGAGCCATGCACATTCTATTCTCAGCATTATGCCATGAGGATAGAAGCCAAGTGGCTCAATGTGAATCAGCAAAGGAGATTTGGGAGTCTCTTCAGACTACCCATGAAGGTACGTCTGAGGTCAAGGAAAGTAGGATAGATGTCTTATTAAATTAATAAGAGTCGTTTGAAATGAGCTCAGGTGAGTCTATATCAAGCATGTATAAACGATTTAATGATATGATAAATAGAATAAAAGGGTTAGGTAAAACCTTTGAGACCAAAGATCTAGTTAGAAAAATTTTAAGATGTTTACCTAGAGAATGATTACCTAAACGAACAACAATAGAAGAAGCTAAAGACCTGAATGTTCTATCTATTGAAAGGTTAGTTGGGTCATTGCTTAGTCATGAGGAAGTAATCATTCAAATGAATAAAGACGATCATAGAAGAAGAAAAGTTATTGCCTTTAAAGCACAGGAATGTGACAGTGATTCTGATTTAGACATGGGGGAAGAATTTGAGAAAGAATTTGCCTTAGTAAGTAGAAAGTTTCATTGAATGCATAAAATGAAAAATGAGTTTCAGGCGAAAAGAGGTTATCAGGATCCTAGAAATCTTAATAATAATCAGTTTTCTGAGTATAGAAGAGAAAGAGAAGGATCTGATAGAAATAATCTAAGACATATGAAAGATACGACTCAAATCGATCATACTTTGAGAAAACCCCACCAAAAAGGCATGATAGATTCTCTGAAGGTCGTGAAAGGTATAAAGTTGATAAGGAAGACAGTAAGTTTTCCACTGAGAAAGATTTGACAATTTGTTTAAAGTGTGGAAAGCCAGGGCATATGCGTTCAAGATGTCCTTTGAGTTCCAAAGCCAAAGAAAAAGCTCTTGTTGCTTCCTGGAGTGATTTCAGCTCAGAAGAAGAACCAGAGGGCAAGAACCTAGCATATATGGCATTTGCTACAAAGAGTGAAAGTGATGGACAGTACACAACCAGTAATGATCATCAATCGCCATCATGATATCAGGTAATTACTGACTCAGACTCAGAACAAGAAGACAATAAGCCTAAAGCAAAAGTTGATTTTTTGCATGCTCTAGCAAATCTTCAGGAAGAATGCAATAGACTCAAAAGCAAATATTGCTTACTAATGACTGATAACAAGACTCTAAAAAATGAAATTGAAACACTAAACAGATCATTAGCTATCCAACATGACTGGAATAAAAATCTAAATATAGTAGTCTTTCATCTTAAAAATTAGAATCAAAGGTTAAAAGATTTGTGTAAAACTAAGGGTGTTCAAAACAAAAGTCATCATGTTGAAAGTATGAATAAAAGATGGTCATCTTCAAGATTACCTACTAAGGTTTACAAGAATCAGTATCTAAACAGAAAGTATGAGAAATATCATGTTGTTTTACATGTTCCTACTGCAAAAGAAAAGGGCATTTAGCAAGATTTTGCTATGATTTAGAAAAACTAAGAAGACCCGTCATCACTAAAACATTTTGGGTTCCAAAATGTGCTAATCTCTGATTGACTGCAGAGTTTGGGAGAAAATGAGAACATCTGGTTTCTGGACAGTGGTTGCTCCCACCACATGACAAGTAAAAAGGAATTATTCTCTTCTTTAAGCTATAAAAATGGTGGTAAAGTGGTATTTGGAGATGATCGTGTAGGAATCATCATGGGAAGTGGAATAATTGGTAAGAGTCCACTTCCAACTATAAAAAATATGTTGTTTGTGAAAGGGTTAAAACATAATCTTCTTTCGATAAGTATCCTATGCAACTCTGAGAACAGAGTAGTATTTGAATCAACAACATGTGAAATCATAAGAAAAAGAGACAATAAATTATTATTCTGTGGAACTAAGAAAAACAATATGTATGTGGTAGATCTAAATTGTCTCAACACTTTTAATGAGACATGCTTTCAAGCTAAAACTCATGATCTGGAAATGTTATGGCACAGAAAACTTGGTCATATAAGTTTATCTAAGTTGTCGAAACTATCAAAAATGAAGTCTGCACGAGGAATACCTCTGCTAAAAGAAGTACCTAAATTCTGTTGTGATGCTTGTGTTGGTGGAAAAATGGTCAATAAGAGTTTTAAATCAAAAAGGGATATAACCACTACTGAACCCAATGAGCTAATACACATGGATTTATTTGGACCAACTAATGTAATGAGTCTAGGGGGAAAATCCTATGCTTTTGTACTTGTCGATGATTTTCTAGATACACTTGGGTATATCTTTTAGCATCTAAAGATGAAGCCTTTGTGTACTTTAAGAATTTTGTTCATCATATTCTGACTGAGTCAAAGAATGGCATAAAAGCCATTTGCAGTGATAATGGAGGTGAGTTTATATCTGATCAGTTTGGTGATCTCTGTAATAATAAAGGTATTACTCACACTTTCTCTGCTCCTCGAACTCCGCAACAAAATGGTGTTGTGGAAAGGAAAAACAGAACCATAATAGAAACTGCTAGAACTATGCTGTTAGAGTATGGTTCACTCAAATTCCTTTGGGGAATAGCTGTGATGACTGCTGTCTATGTCATAAATAGAGTTTTAATTAGGAAATTCATAAACAAAACTCCCTATGAGATCATCAAACAAAAATCGCCAAACCTAGGATACTTCCATCCTTTTGGATGCAAGTGTTTCATTTTGAATACTAGGGATCATCTATATAAGTTTGACTCCAAATCTGATCAATGTATATTCCTAGGATATTCAATTAAAGGACAAGCATACAGGATATATAATCTAAGAACTAAAAAGGTTGAAGAATCAGTGTTTGTAAAATTTGATGAATCTGAAAGCACTGACAAACTCTCTGTAGAAAAAATAGAGCTTTTGTTTCCTATGTTGATTGAAAAGGGGAGTACTGAGGAGCACCAAAGATATTTGAACCAAAAAGAAAATCAGAAAGACAAAAGTGAATCAAGTGACGAGTTAAGCAAGGAAGAAGAAAGAATGGAGGCTCCACCCCACATTCAAAGACGACATCCCCCCTCACAAATCATTGGTGAGCTAAACGAAGGTATTCATACCAGAGGAAAATACCAACCAGGTTAGTACGCTCTTATTTCTCTTTTAGAACCCAAGAATTATAAAGAAGCTCTACTTGATGATGAGTGGTTGAATGCTATGCAAGAAGAACTACTTCAGTTTGCTAGGTTACATGTTTGGGAACTTGTCCCTCATCCCTTAGATTGCTTGATCATAGGAACAAAATGGGTTTTCAGAAATAAAACAGATGAAGAAGGACAAGTAATTAAAAATAAGGCAAGACTTGTGGCTCAAGGATATTTACAGGAAGAGGGAATTGATTTTGAAGAATCCTTTGCACCTGTAGCTCGCATAGAATCAATTAGAATGATGTGTGCATATGCATGCTATATGAAAATTCCTCTATACCAAATGGACGTAAAAAGTGCATTTTTAAATGGTGAGATAAAAGAGGACGTATATGTAAGTCAACCTCCAGGTTTTGTTGATCATAATCATCCAGACCATGTGTACAAGTTGTCTAAAGCGTTATATGAATTAAAACGGGCCCCTAGGGCTTGGTATGACAAATTATCTACTTTCTTGAAAAATGAAGGTTTTTCCCAATGGAACGTTGATAAAACACTGTTCATCAAGAAAGAAAATTCAGAAACTTTGATTGTGCAAATATATGTCGATGACATAGTATTTGGATCAACAAACCCTGAAATGTGTACTAAATTTTGCCAAATCATGAAGTCAGAATTCGAAATGAGTATGATGGGAGAACTATCACACTTTCTAGGATTACAAATTAAGCAAACAAAATCATGAATTTTCATAAATCAATCCAGTTACACTGGAGCTATGCTTAAAAAATTCGATATGAATTTTGTGAATGAACGTCCAAAAGCTATGGCTGCAAATCTGAAACTTGACAAAGATGAAGGGGGGAAAGCATTCTGTGAGAAAAAATACAGAGGGATGATCGGATCTCTCCTCTACTTGACAGCCAGTAGACCTTATATTCAATTTAGTGTAGGAAGAGTACTTCAGGAACTATTCAACTCCTTGGACCTGCTCTAGTGTCATGGTTTAGTAAAAAACAAGGGGCAGTGGCTCTTTCAACAACTGAAGCTGAATATATGGCAGCTGGAAGCTGCTGTGCTCAAATTATGCGGATGAAAGCCCAGTTGTCTGATTATGGCTTTAATTTCAAAGATATTCAAGTATGTTGTGATAACACAAGCGCAATTAGTATGACAAAGAATCCTGTCCAACACTCTAGAACAAAGCATATTGAAATAAAATACTATTTCATTAGAGATCTAATCCAAGCAGGACACATATGCTTACAGTTTGTTTCGACTGAGTCACAACTAGACGTCCTATTTACCAAACCTCTCCCTAGTGAACGCTTCTTGCAAATTTGCATGGAACTAGGGCTCAAATCTTCATGTCAGATTAGAAATCTTTCTCACTAAATCTTGATTGGCCCTCTCTTCCACTCTACATATTTGGCGTGTCTTGATATGGTAAATAGAAACTTTTTGTTCATGCTTGCATTGTTCCAAGACAAATCCATGGAAGCTACCATCTAATCATTACACTTTTCCTTGCTTTTTCCTGCGGGAAACTCTTCAGCTTCCATCCGCTCCTCTCTTCTCTCCGCCTATATAATCCTTCTCCCCTCTCTTCTCATCTCCTAACTATTCTAGCAACTAAGATCATCCAAACTCAGAGAGAAATTCAGCCATCCAGAATGAGTGGTTATATTCCTCGTCCTTTTCATTTTGATGGGTTGGTTCACACCTTCTCAGGATACATGTTCCATGAGCCCAGGGTGTTGAACCATCATCGATATCTCCAGCATTTTGACAAGAGAAGGTTGCATCACATCACCCAACTTGACCCTTATGAGTTTAATGTCTATAAATATGACATTATTTCTCTCATCGAAGGGATCGGGTGGGATTTTCTTCTTCGACAGCCTATTCATCCTGCTTGTCCAGGAGCTGTCAAATACTTCTTCTCAAATCTCCAGAGTCCTGGTGTAAGCTCGAGGAGGTTCACCACACTGGTTTATGGACACCTGTTAACCATACCAGTAGAGGCTCTTAATGGTATTCTCGGCTTCCCATCTCAAGGGCTTGGCCTGGCTCACCCATCTGAGTTTTGGAAGCACGAGTTCAAGATTGAGGTGGAGTACAACAACTTCTCTACAGAGTCAACTGGTGGCTCTGATGTCCCAATCCCTGTTTCCTGGCTTCCTCCAAGGTTGAGGATTTTCCATTACTTCCTCACTCACGTTTTCCTCCCTCGATCCTTCAACCAGGATTGTGTTCTCCCTATGGACCTCTGGATTATTGCCAGTGCCACAGTAAGAAGGAAGCTCGATTTCGCGAGCATCATGTTTGGTCAGTTTCTCCCTGTGGGGGACGAAAATTACAAAGGTCTTCTACCTTTCGGTTCCATCACCACTCGTCTGTTGATCAACCTGGGAGTTGACTTATCAGAGTTTCGAAGCATCTCCTCCACAATGTATGTCAGTGCACTAAACGTGCTAATGGTGCTTGATCTGCCTACTGACTTACCTCCTCCTCCTCCTCCTTCTGCATCTCTTCTCGGTCCCCCTCCAAAATCTCATTCTGCCAAGAGGGTCTCCTCTGGTAGAAAGGCCAAATCTGTTGGTGAATCCAGCAAGTCTGGAGATCTTGTGTTTCCTATCTCCGAAGGCAATACCTCCTATGATGACTCTGCAACCTCTGCCCCTCCTGCCTAAATCCTTCTGTTTCTTCTATCCTTAGGTTGTAGTGCTCGCTGTACTGTTCTCTTGTTTTTAGGAGCCTTTTGTTCAGGGGGAATGAGTTCCTTTAGTCTCTAGGTAGTTAGTTCCAAGCTTTTAGGGGGGAATATCTTCGATATTTCCATATTTTGTACTCTCATTTCCCCTGTGTACCCTGCTCCTACTCCTATTGTAATGTTCTTCAATGAATGCATTTATGTTTTCGGTTTGGATTCCTGGTCTGCTGGTGCGTTGTCTGTTTCTGTTTTTGCAGGATCTCCAACAACTCGGACGAAGGGGGAAATTGTTGGCTAAAACGACATCGTGGCTGCTCTATTAAAAACGGCGTCACTTCAGTACCGAGGAACGACGGCGTTTCGGTTTCGGATGATGTTTCGTCCTTCGCAGTTGTCGTCTCCATCTCGAGCCTTTCATTCTGAAGTCTTGAACTCTTCTTTCGAAAGCTCTGAGAAACCATTTTTCCAAATCTCCACCGACTCTATTCAGCACGCAATAATGACTGCTACCAGGAGCGCTTCGTAGGAAACGGCACCTTCAGGGTTCCCCTATATATATCGAGTGAGTTCCTCATTTGAAAGTAGCGGTTGGTAGTAAGAGCGATTGGGATTTTGCTTTATCTATCATGGGCTATTTTGGGTACCATCTTCAGTAGATAGATCACAGGAGTTGAGAACTGGGTGATCTTGTCTTGGGAAGTTGGGATTAAGTATCATTTCTTGTAATCAAAGTGCCAAGTCTCTTGGCTTGGCTAGGGATCAATTTCGATCGATTGTAGTTCTGTTTCAAGTTCAATAAAATCATTTCATTTTCACACTCACTCAGAGTTTACAATGTTGTCACTTGGCAGATTCGAGAGATATGCTTCTAGTTTCATGATTGTGCAAAGCAATTCAGGCAGCCCTTAACGGTTTTGGTTATAATAAATTTGAAAACTGAAAAAACAATTCATTGAGTTAAAAGATTATTTATTTTTATCGGATTATTAACGGTTTTCAGTTTTAACCAAAATGATTAAGAACTTGTCAATTTTATCCCATTAAGGAAAATCAATAAACTTAGAAAACCATTTTGGTTTTTTTTTTACAAGGTGTGAGTGCATTTCATTAAGATAAACAGCACAAGCCTGTGGTGTTACATGAAAGACCCAGAAAAGGACTTAAAGCATGGTGTGGTTAAATGACTTAAGTGTATAGGGTTTCACAATCACAGGAAAGTTTACTTACGTACCCAACAGGCAGCAGCTTTAGTTGAAGAGTTTTATACATATATTTTGGTTAAATTTGTGTTTAGTATAAATTGAATTGAGTTTGGTAAATAGTAATTACTAATTAGTTGCTAGTTGTGAAGTTGTTATTTCAGAAAATTCAAAATTATGGGAACTTTTGTTCATTTTGGCTTGGAACGCCTAGGCGACGTCTAAGTGAGCTAGGCACTAGGCAGGAACTCAACGCCCGTCTTACGTCTAGCGCTTTCTTGAACATTGGATAATATGATGTTATATTGGTAACCAATTAACCAAACCGATTAAACTTTAGTTTGGTTAATTTGGTTGTTGTATTAGTTTGGACGATTTGGTTATCATAATGCATTCCATAATTAATAGAATTTAACCTTATTTAATTTGATAATTACCATGTTAACTATTTGAACATCACTAAATATAACTATTTGGTCAAACCCATAAAACAGTTAATTAGCCTTTAATTTAAATAATTGCTCCGCTCATCAATGCGCATGACTGCTTCTTTATTGAAGAACTCCACTGGTAGCTCCGGAAGCTGAGCCTAGACCATCGCTGAGTTGACATTTGATGTCCAGGCAACACTACTGGGGGCAAGGGTCAAATATTCAAGGGTCTGTGTGGAAGTTGACCTGACTAAACCTTTATTGTCTCAATATAAGATTGAAGGTTGCACGTACGTTGTGGGCTATGAGGGGCTTCATAAGCTGTGTGGCCAATGCGGCTGCTATGACTATCATGGTACCAAATGCCCAAACAGACCCCAAACGGAGGATGTATCAACAAAACAAGATGATGATTTGGGCAAGGATTAGGAACATACGGAGCCACTGAGCAGCCAATTATATGGAGACTGGATGGTGGTGAAGAAAAAAGTATGGCGACCAAGTAATAAGATGGCAGGGAATGAGAGGAGAGGTGGTTTGGACCAAAGGAAAAGAGATTACTATAGAAACCGATACAATGTACTCCACGACAGTGAGGAAGGGAATGAAGCAGTACCATCCCAAACTACTTCTACGACCCAGCTACCCCAGTAGGAAAATAGCAAGGGGGTGACAAATAAGAAGCATACAGTTTAGGAAGCGAGGAAAACAGTAAGAAGAAAGGCAAACCGGTAGCCATGAATGCAACAAAGATTTCTCCAAAAGCACAAAAAACAACGACCACAAATGAGGATAGCAGTAAGAAGAAAGGAAAACCGGTAGCCATGAATCAGCCCGCAAGGCCGGAGGTGACTATGGGAAGCACGACAAAGGTTATATTTCGGGCAACAACTAAGGCTCCTACCCCGGGCGATAAACATACCAAGCCACAGAACCAGTTGCCGAACAGTGGATACTATACCAAACGGAAATCAAAAGGATCATATTGAAAAGGGTGCGTTTGAGAAGCAAGCGAGCAGTTAAAGCTTTGAAGTCGCTACTGCGACAGGTTTCTTCGCAAATTGTTTTTTTAATGGAAACAAAGCAGACAGAGGATGAAAATGAAAAGACCCAACACGTGCTAGGATTCGAGCATGGCAGCCGATGGGCGACTGATATGTCAGGTGGAGGAAGATCTGGTGGGCTGAGCATGTGGTGGACGTCCTCGGAGCAATTATTTGATTTTATGTGGAAAATGACTTCTACGAGTGCATCATATGGATCTATGGAAGGAGTGTTTTAAAGAAGGCCGAGTGCATCATATGGATCGCACGCGATCTGACCATCGGCCAATTGTGTGTAGTACAGAAGGGGAAGAAGATGAAGAACCCCGATGGGGCTGGTCATTCAGGTTCAATCCTTTCTGCACGAAACATGAGGAATGTGCAGCGAAAATCGAAGAAGGATGGAGTAGTAACTTCTCAGCTGATATTCGAGGGAAGCTCACATCCTGACAATTGAAGTTGGAGGAGTGGAGTAGAGAGCGATTTACAAACTTCCATAAGCAACGTAAGAAGATTCAGAGAGCCACTCAAAGCCTTGAGCGCCTGCTGAAGACTGCAGTGGTTCTGCAACAACTTCAAAAACTTTGATCGGAGCTTGAGGACAACGAGGAACAGTACTGGAAACAATGCTCGCGTGCTGACTGGCTAAAAGATGGTGATAAAAACACAAATTTTTTCCACAAAAAAGCAAGCACAAGACGAAGAAGAAATATGATCAAAAAGTTGCGCACGAGGAGGGTAGGCTGTATACAGGGAAGGAGCAAAATCCGCTGGAGCATTGGAGTGTCCTCCTATACTATATTTGGAGAGAACACAATGCCCATTTGTTTAACAGCTATAAGCTGGAGGAGATGGAAATCGCCTCCGCTGCAGCCACAATGTTAGTTGAGTGCCAGACGAGACAAGAGAAGGAGATTAGCGTTCAGACTGTGGCCCCTGTAAAGCATTGGATCGCACCCCCAAATGGTAGAGTAAAGATTAATTCGGACGCGGGCGTACTACCAGTAGGAGGAGCAGGTAGGGGATGGCAAAAATATCTGTAACCGTGGATATCCGCCCGAACCCGGCCTAATCGGGTAGGGTAAAACTCGAACCCGAAGGACATTTAGTGGGTACGGGTAAAACCCGAAGCCGAATATTGCGGGTAATGGGTGGGCATGGGTTTCTCAGTATCCAACCCGAACCCGCCCGATTATACACATACATATGTATTTTGTCTAGAAATAGTCAGTATTTTTCTCTAACATATTTTATATTTATCATATAAATATAATATTTTCATGAAATTGTGTGGTTTTAATTAATTTTCTTCATTCTAGTGAATTATTGTCATACTTTTCCTCTTGCGTAATGTGAGAATACGTGTGAATGTTAACATATTAATTGGAGTTATGAAGAGAAATCATTACCCATGGATAACCGTGGATACCCGAAACCCGAACGGGTATGGGAATGGTTTTAATTTTCTACCTGTTTCATATGTGGGTATGGGTATAGATAAAACCCGAACTACTTTGGGTAGGGTAACGGATATGCACTATCCGTCCCCGACCCGACCCATTACCATCCCTAGCATGGCTTGGTGTAGTAGCGAGAGATGCAGCAGGGTGTTTTCTTTTTGTAGCAGCAAAGAAAGTAACAGGTATTTATGACCCTGATGATGCCGAAGCTTTGGCAGTCGAGCTTGGTGTGCAGATGGCAACTCAACTCAACCTCATGAAGATGGAGATGAATTGCTTGAATCTTGTGACAGATATCACTCAGGCCGAGAGCATTAGATCGGAGAAGGGAGTTGTTTGTCGGAATATCCGGAGATTGCTTGGTCAATTGGGCGACATCACGTGGCAATATGCTCCGAGGAAAGCAAACGCTGCAACGCACATAAAGGCGCATATGGAGACTATTTGGAACGAAAGATCATCGTGGATTGATAGGCCTCTCATCATTTTATTAGATCAGCTAAAGTTGGACAGTGTAACCTTCCCTACTGATTAATGGAAGTTCTACAGATTCTCAGTCAACAAAAAAAAAATTGCTCCGAGGAAGTTGAGAAGGCATTTTCCACATAAAATCAAATAATGGGGAGGGGAAATTTGGCAGATTTTTTTTTTTTTTTTGACAATGGCAGAAAATTATGAATATATTATTTTAGTCCCAATCAAAACTGCAGTTTAGATAGTGACGGAAAGGTCGTTATCGGCGTTCATTATTTAAATTATCGCCGGCCGCAAAAACAACTACATTCATTCATTGATCATTATTCCCATCCCATGTATTATTTATTAATTGATTAGGTTAAGATTAGATTAGGTTAGTCCATGCATGCATATGGTCACTCGATGAGTTAGCTAGGTAGGTACATTTCTATAGAGAGAGGTTCTTTATTTGTACAAAAACGGAAAGAGTTTGAATAATTTTTTTAAAGGCCAACAAATATGTGTTTTCAATGAATTTGATGTTTTTCTAAAAAAAATTTAATTTGATCAGGGACGAAGTCAGGATTTTTGCAACAGGGGGCCAAAATCGAATAATTGTACGCATTTCTTTACTTCGTAAAAATGAGCAAAAGTGATATATAAAATTTAAATTTTCATGGTAAGATTAAGAAATTTATTATAAATTTGTTAGAAAATTTATGTTATTTTCACAATTCAAAATGCATATTTGCTAATAAACCTAGATTTTGAATGAATCAAAACAAAGTAAGATATCTAGCGGTACAAATAATAAATACTAAAGGAAACGAGATTCAAATTTAAAAATAGATACTAAAATTTTTTCAGAACTTTTCTCTAATATACATTAGATATTATATGAAAATTCTCTCTTTTAATTTTTATTAGGCAAAAAAAGAGTGAAATAATAAATATTTAATGCAAGTTCTCTTAAAATTTGTTGAAGGGTTCTACCATTTTTTTTTTTTTGAAGGGTAAGAGTGAAAACTGAAAAGTAAAAATGAGAAAGAAAATGCCGCAGGGATTGAACTTGCTTCCTTTTGTTTATAAAGAGACACAACCTTTACCACTAGGCTATGATCAAATGATGATCCAGTATGCATACTCTTTATAATTTGTAAATTCGCGGGGGCATGGCCCCCAAGCCCTAAGCTGCCTCCGCCCCTTAATTTGAAGGAGCAACGAAATTGGAGATTAATTTTTAAGTCCAAGGAGATTAATTTTGAGAGCACATAGTGCATATCTATCGACTTACTGAAAATAGTTTAGGTTTTAACATACTCATACCACATAAGAATTGGGTAAGAAATCAAAATCATGCACCTATCTTATCATATTTTGGGTTTCCATAGATAATGATTTTTCTTCATAATTTCAGCCAACATGTCAACAATAAAAAATATAATAACATGACTTAAATGAAAAACTTTAACAATAAATCACTAGGATAGAGAAAATTAGTTAAAGAAAACACAATTTCATGAACAAGTATATATGTATAGGAAATATCAAATATGATGGGAAAAAGATAATTTTTAGACAAAATACATACACATATGTAAAAATGGATAAATTCGGATTGGATAACAAGAAAATCATGTTCACCAATTATCCGCAATATTCGAATTTTAATTTTACCCATACCCATTAAAAAATTTGCTATCAGATTTTACACTACTCAATTAGATCGAATTTGGGCAAATATCCACGAATATAATTTTTTCCGTTTTTAAAAATAAAATAAATGATATTCTAAACTTTTAGATTTGTTTATCTAGACAAATAAAGCCGAATAATAATCAAGAAAGACTTCATGAGCATCTACATTGCATGGGTAAAAGTCGGTGCAATACTTGCACAAGTTCATGGCATACAAGGCCAGGAATCTTTCTGAGATTTAAGTTTGAGAAAGAAAGATGGCAAAATTAGCGAGAGCGTTTGAGAATGTTGTCTTCTATTGTATATTGTTTATACTTGATTACATTGAAGTGATTTGGGCTCTAAGTCTAGGACTTTCAACTGTTGATTAAT